TATACCGAGTCTCCGAATGTTTCATATAAACTTGCTATGTGATACCTATTGAATAACAAGCGAATATCAATCGCAATTGAATCAATATGCGTTATTTGGCAATTGCAAGGCAGGTTTATATGAAACTCTCGGAGAGTCGGTATAAAGCACAAAAAGTGAAAGAAAACTTTTTTTTCTCAATTCTCGAACACCACTAAATGTTCAATACACGCGTACACCAATTTCGCAATGTGCATTCGTTTTTCGAAGAAGTGTTCACGATGTATTTTGTTTTGGTTTGTATACATGCAGCAATGTATTTCATGCACATGCTCACAGATGATAGAATGGCCGGTAGTTCAATACACTTTTTCAATTGATAACGATAAAAATTGAAGCATGAGCATAGTATATAATAACAAAAGCACTTCGATTGACCCAAAATATTTTGTGAGTATTAACGTTTTGTTGCATTTGTTTTGTTTTCATATTTTTAGCGGCAAGCAGGTAATGTGTGGCTATGAGTTATGGAATTTTTATCATGAAAAAAGTCATAGCTGTGATGATATCACATACACAAATGGTAAATATGGTTAGACGGTCTATTGTTGAACAAGTCATTTTCATTGTATTTCGTTTTTGGCTCGTGCGATCGAAAACGATTTGGAAAACTTAATGTCATGGTACGATATCTTCGATCAGGTCTTCTTTGTATTTTGGCATGCGCTCTAATGCGAATTTTTCAATGTGGCTACAAAAATTAGCTACTAATTTCATTCTGGCAGCCGATAACCAAATCGATCACCATGGCACGAGCATGTGTTTGCATTGATAATTAAGGTAAATGATTTGTTTTTCAATTCAGAACGAAGACATGGTGCATTTTTATCAATGTTTCACTATACGACCGGTTCGTGCCTGCTCACAAGTATAGCTCTGAGAATTTTACAGAAATAAAACGTTGACTTTTTTTCATTTTCGTCATGAATTATCATACATTTATCTATTTTGTGGTTGCATTTATTATAAAAATAGTTCAAAAATAAACTATGGATAAATTTACCAAAGAATTGTTTTCGTTCTTTAATTTTCGATTTAAATTCTTTCTTCAAATTTAGTAACCAATGAACCAACCTTATATGAATACGGTAGAAAGTTACCGCTAAGAAGTGACAGTAAAAAGAAATATCTGCATATTTTTTATTACAATGAAGAACAAACGTACATTGTTTTCAAGCAAAATCGTCATATTGTAAACCATAAAAAAATAAGACGACTTCAGGCTTAAGCATTCTAACACAGCATCATGTAATTCAAGTGAAATTTATTTTGTTCTTTTCAATTCATTTTTTAAAAAAATAAGCATTTGTCGGACATTTTCTATTTCGATGAAAATTGTTACCTAGCTAGTACCGAAAAAATTTGCATTTTATTGCCGAAAGAAAGGACGCGTTCAAGAGGAGACGTTGCTAATCTCTTTTCGAAGAGAATTCTATGTCAAGAACAATTGGGTGTATTTTAAACTTAAAAAAATTGTCATTTTTCATTATTTTAAATATAAGAATGATGCATAAACGGCAAGGATGAATAACAAGTTGGCGTCAAATGTCTATCGTTTAACAATTGCTTTCAATTGTATTCATAATACCTTTTACAATTTAACAATAAAACATGGTACTCCGACAGTATTATTTCACATTTAGTCTGGACCAGAGATGTAACCAATGCAAATCCATACATTGGAAACAATTATTTTTCGTGTTTGCTGTTATTTTATGGCAAATAGTCATAAACAAAATGTGTGAAATAAGTTAGGGATAAGAATAGAGAAAACAAATGCTGGTTTATTGCTTGCAATTCGTACCTTTGAGGAAATACAGAAAATCAACCTAGAATTTCAATATACAGTAGGCACAATATGAAGTTCGGTGTACTCCTTAACGTTGTGATTAAGTTTTTTTTTGTTAATTTTTTTGGGCGACAATGTCGACGTGAAACTGAAACTTACAATTTTTTGCACGAATCGCCCAAGTATAAAACAATGGCCAAAATACGCAGCAACATGCTCTTAATACTTGTCGTCTCGTCTTAGTGGTGGTGTTTATCACACAATGAAAATTGGAATCATTGTCATAACCCAGCGCTGAGAAATATTTATATTTTCATCGATGCAACATAAATTTAACAAAAAATTCATTTTTGAAATTTGATTTTATATAAGTACAATGATTTCAAACATTTCTCTTGAACATACTCAAAAAAAAAACATTTTTCTATTTTATAAATGATGAAGTTTCTCTAGGGGATCGGATCTCGATCAGAACATAGCGAATTATTCGATATTTTGAGAATTTTATGCGAAATGATTTGTTAGCGATGTAGGCCAGTAAAGTAAACGATATGAACGATAGAAAATTCGCAAAATTTGTATGTTTTGTATGTATCAAATTATGCGATAACTTTTTGCGAATTGCTTGAATTATTTTACGAAAATGACGACTTTATCATACAACTAATAAGTTTTGTCCATTCGCGAATAGATAATTTCCCCTGGAAGTTTCTGCTAAATTCTGATGCTTGTGAATAAATCAAGATATATGCCAAACATATTTTAGCGCTGTAAAAGCTGATGTCAAACTGACATTTTGATTTATTGCTATTTCAATTCGTTGTTTAGATAAAATTCTGGTAACGCTTATTACCTTGAATAAGTTTGATTTTCTTTTCAATGGAAAATCTTTTTTACTCGTTTTCCGCACAAAATGATTTTTTTTAGTTAAATTTTCATTAATTGAATGAAACATATTTCTTGAAAAAATTGCAATAAAAGTGAACCATCATTTGTATTTTTATATGCTCGCGACTCATTGTGAAGGGCTTTGCAGACCCCCAAAGGGAATCACTGATGTAATAAGTTGTATATTAACAAGTGTTGCACGCAGTCTCGCTCGGTCTCGCTACAATGTTTATAAGCTATAGCTGTCCAGAGTCATGCGATTCAACCGAAACATTCTTATGATTTGAATACACAAAAAACCACATTGAATGTCGACATTGATTGTAATACAGCGATGTTTAAAAATCGGTTATAGAATTATATCAATTTTCGCAAAAAATAATATTAATTAAAAAGTGCATTTTTTCATAATTAAAAAGAACATTTTTCCAGTAGAAAAAATCATAGCTGAATGTTGGTTAGTAGATAAAATTTGACAGTTGTAATTGAACTGAATCAACATAGACATGCGCAAATACGAAATCGAACATTTCAGTAGGGTTATTTTCCATACGCGTTTGAAACAGACTCTTTTAGTTTACGAATTTTTACGATAACATCGTCGAAGCAACTGTCTCGAATAAAGACGAAAGTTAAATTTCGCCGTTCATATTACGGCTATAATTGGCTAGTACGACATATACAATAGAAACAAATAACCGAAAAAAGAGTCAAAGAAGAAAAACGAATAAATTCAGTCGGGCTACATATCTCGAGGGCTCTCTTCTGTCTTTTCTTATGAGTGTGTACTTGAGATTGGCATGTATGCAAATATGGTATTGAAAAGTCAGGTAAAAAGAGTATACTTTTGGTGACATTTGGTGTCTATGTATTTGTCACCGTACATTTTTATTGGTATTGTAGAACACATATTGAGACATATTTCTTTGCAAATCAAACTAGAATTTCATTGGAACGCAAAGTATTTCACTTATCATCCACTCAATTGTTTTTGACGTGCTAAAAATTTCAGTTTTAGCGAAAAATATTTTAATTTCATTTTGAAAGAACTTTCAAAGAAAATCAACAATCGAAAATGTATGCAATTCAACAATTTTATTACGATCCAGAACAAAGTTGCAATATCATTGCGATCCATCCAAACGCGGTATGTACTGTTATAGTTTGTTTAAATTTGTTCATCATTATAAGAAAATATTGAAAATGCCAAAGACAATAAGAACGCTAACAGTGTTTGTTATTATAACGAAAATGCATTATTAAATTTAAATGTTTAAATTATTTTTAATACTTTAATTTGTGTACAACTAAAATCAATTGTAATGTATACATCTAATTTTTTCAATTCTTTTTTTTTTCTTTTTCTCGAATTTTAGCACAATCTCGGTTCGTATACGGGATTGCCAAGCTTTAAAAATGTTCAAACGAATTACCAAACAACTGAAGTACAACCACCTGTTATACTTGGCAGGACTGGAAAACCGAAAAGATCCCGTACTAATTTCAACCTGGAACAGTTGAATGAACTTGAAAAGGCTTACAAGCGTTGTAATTATATGAAAGGTAAAAATCGCGAAGAATTTGCCAAAAGATTGAGAGTGAAAGGGCATAACGTGAAGGTTTGGTTCCAAAATCGTCGTGCGAAGGACAAGCGTGAAAATCAAACATCATTCAAGGCAACTGAGTCAACTGAGGCATCTGAGGCAACTGAGACATCTGAGGCATCTGAGGCCAGTTCCGTTGCATCATTTGCACCTTATTCGTCAATCGCAATATCGCCGTCATCGCACCTATCTGAAATAATAGCGGAAGAATTGGAAGCAGATTTGATGGAATACTATAACTTCCAATGTGTGAAAACTGAAACCGATACCATTTACCGTCCCATTTATGGAACATACATTTATAACGCAAATAGCCAAGAAGTACCAACTAATGAAATTAAACTGGAAGATGTTCAAGTCCAAAATTTCAATGAATCAAATGCAAATATTGATAATGTAATTGATGCTAATTTGCATGATTTTAACTTCGCTCAATTGCAAGACCAAAACCCAGATTGGAACTATGGACTTCTCACAACTCAAGCAAATACAAACGTGTACAGCACCCCACCAGAATCATTGAACCTAAACGATGACTTTTTAATTAAAGATTTGTTCAGCACCTTGTCTAATCCTCTCGACACGAGTAACTGGATGATCTATCCACCCGGGGAAACACCCGATTTAATTGAAATTTAAATCATTTTAATCATAAACAAACAGCAATGAGACGCTACGATCCAAAGAAATGAATTGTACAAATTTAAAAAATGCGGCTTTAATAGTGGTGATACCGTCTTCGTTTAATGATTCATAGCATTCCTCTGCCAACTATTCCGACTTGACAACATTAGATTTGATTTTTTTTTAAAGATAGATTGAATTGAGACAGCCAGTTTTTAGTGGTGCATTGTCTTTTATTAATTATAAATTATTATGCATTCTTGAATAGATTTTAGTCGCGTCGTACATTTGTATTGTTGAAAAAAGATTTTCAATTATAATATTAAAATTGTGCATACAACTTATGTGGTTTTATATTTATTTACTTCGATTTAAAAGTTACATAGTCGGCATGCCATCAAAAACGCATTGTGTCAGTCCACTAGCGAAAAGAATTTTCTTCACAAGTTAAACAAGTTTTCACTACTACATGAGCATGCACTTCCCGTATTTTCTAATGAAGAAATTGTCGTCATTTGCTCGTCGTTCTTTTCGTGTGTCAAACATTTGGAAATTTTTGCCGGTAGGTTCATTGTCGATGTCAATCTGAAAATATCGCAAACAAAAAATAAAATAGAATCAGGTCTCGGTACCGAATAATTCAATTCAAACCCACCGATTAACAACTGATTGAATGACAGCTTCAAGATCCAATTTAAAATTAGATGATGGTCCATCGCATTGTATATTTTCAACTAGTTTTACTAGATTCAAATGTAACTTCAGACTCATTTCAAATCTTAAGAAATAATCGCAAAAATTAATAAAATCGAATTGAATTCATGTTTTTCAATACAAAAACTCACTGTTGACGGGCGCATTCAAGCATTAATTCCTTTACATTATCGATACACCAATCAAATTGATCCTTTCCTTCAATGGCAAATAAAGCCGCTTTAAGTGCATTTGCTATGTTTTCTTCAAACTCTTTAAATGGGTTCATAGTCTTGTTCTCGTTTTTAATAGATGCCTTAATTGATGAAAATGTCTTGCCTAATCATGGAAATGATCGAAAATATTGAAATTTATAAGTTTTTCTACTCAGAATTTATACAATTGTATGAACTGAACACGAAATCAATACCAATCACAAATATATGCTAAACGTCACTCTTACCCACGTTCGTTCAGTATGCAGTAGAAAACACCAGTTTTAACAAAATCAGTGGTTATTGAAAGTGAAATGTTTCATGGAAAAATTCCAAGTTTAGTTTCGTATAAAATGTGAGAAATCAATAAATAAAGTACAGTTCTTGGTATTCACCACAGCACATCATATCATACGCACACTATAAAAGAGAAAAGTGCTTCTTTAACATTTCAAGCAACGCATCAGTTGCTATGATACTAGTGTCAGAAACTAACACAGATGAAAGTGCATAAACAAAGACACAGTAAAGGATTCACTATGAAGTGATGCCATCTCAAAAGAAGCAACAATTACATTGAAAAAATCTCGTTGAAATGCTTATACACTTACTGTAAGTGACTTACACACCAACGTAATCATACGTCACAGTCATTATGGCCCATGCAACATTTGCTTATTGTATAACATCAGTAAATTTTAGTCGCTATTGCACTGTTTTACAAGACGCATGACATTTTCATTGCAGTGTTCGCATATTTTACTATTAATAATTACGATTGTTTTGCATGAAATTTGATCACATTTGCTTTTGAATTTGATTTTTAATTTTTAAACATTGTCATTTGAGCCACAAGCATTCATTCTGATCCAGTAAAAAATGACATCAACGGAACCAACAAAATTGATTGATGTATCTAATGATACCAGTGCATCTGGTGAAACGTCAAAGGCGAACAAGGTAAATGATTTTCTATCAACTGCAAATATTGTTTTTTTTTTTATTTTGTCTTTTTAATTCATATTGATTTGTGTTTATTTCCACAGTCTCGTGCCATAAAAAAAGGTACTCAATGTCGTAATACGACTAGACCTGCTCGACATTCAACTCAGCAAAAGAAAGATATTACAAAGTCCAGAATACGTGAAGAAGGCAATGTAACCGAGGTGTGTACCATCTTTGTGGTCATTACTTTTCACAAATACCTGAATATCATATTCGAAAAATGTTGTTCTTTTTTTTCTCAACTCACAGGCGACATCGATGTTGGGAAATAATTCCAAATCTCGAAGTTATAAGCCTGACGACGAGACTGGAACGATTTTAGGCGCGACTGAAGTCAACGGTCAACTTAAATTTATTTTCAAGTGGAAAGATCAAGTTGAACCAACAATTGTTTCAAATGAAGTGGCCAAGCATCGATATACAAACGCCGTACTGGATTTCTATGAAAGTTGCCTAAGATGGGATGACAGTGAAAATGACGAACACAAATGTGTGCTTAAAAAATGACGCACATCTATCACACATATCATATTAATTGGACAAACGTTTTCATTCAAAATTAAGTGGTTAAATAAACAGATAAAATGTCATCTCAAAAAAAAAGACATTCTATGTGAAACACAAGTGAATTTCACTAGAGAACGATTTTTTTTTAAACAAACATGAATTTTCAAATTCGAATACTTTCGAATGTTATCATTTTGAATTATTTCTTTAATCCGGGTGAAAATTTAACGCAAATATATATATATATATTAATGTAAAAAACTTTGATTACGTTGAAAGTGAAAAAGAATGAATTTGTATTCACGAATAAAGGTAATTAGGCGAAATATCGTATTTCTTATGTGCAAAAGAATTGGCTGACATATAAGATCATTTTGGCGCCACCAACAACAAAACTAGCAATAACATAGTAATTTTGAATAGCATATCGCAGGTCAACATTTTGTTGATATTGATAGTGAATTTCTTACATACTTAAATTCTTTGGAAATTAAAAATATTATAATTTTACTGTAAATAAAAGACGTTCTGTCTGTAAAACATTAACAAAAACAATAAATATACACTTTGAATGCACTACACTGACATTTTTTCAATTTCTTTAAATATTTTGGAATTTTTGCTTATTAATCACTGTTTCTGTGTAACTGATATTCAATAGGTAATCAATGTTTTAAAAAAATGATTAATTTTTTGACAAAACAATAGTTTCATTTTTTACATTGCAAATGGCCACTAAAAAATGTGTTTGTTTACTTTTTCAAGTCATTTGTAGATTTGACCTACCGTTTTATTGCACTTGTATGATTATGACAGCAAATTCAAGTGGCATAATCTCAATTTCATGATATGTCATTTAATTGTGAGTGATTACAATCGAAGCACTTTAATAAGAAAAAAATATCAATTTTATTGATTTTTATACTACACACAGTGACTTGTATTCTACAAAAAATGTCAATTAATATAAAAAAATATCACGTTGTCACCTTTTTTTACACATAAACATGTAATTAAGTTATTCGATTTTTTTCTGGATCTGCTTGCGTCGCAATTTTTCCAATGAATCGAATGTTTTTGGTGAATTTCGTGTCAATTGTCGTAATTGACCGTAAATATGGTGATACCATGGATATGCTTCAAGTTCAATTTCGAATTCGTTCATCGTTTCGAATAAAATCGGATACAATGATGATAATATACCATGGTCAATCGTTGGGAAGAGATGATGTAACGCATGATGACCAAAATGTGTTAAAGCTAGAAAATGATGCTTTCGCAAATCTGTATTGTCCATTATTGTGTCCATTGAATAAATTCCCCAATCCAAATCATCTCTGTAATTAAAGAAATCAATGAGTTCTGTGTCAATTTCAAAATGAACAAAAAAAAAATCTTTTCGAACTAACCGTAGTTTATCCATCTAAAAAAAAAGTTATAAAAAAAATCATGAATTAATTTTTAGTTGTCAAATATAATTCAGATGAAAAAATTACCTCGTGCAATGTATCTGGATGGTGATGTCCAGCATTTAATCCAATCAGATGAAAGATGAAGCTATTAGCTAGTATAATTTGCATCCAAACTTTGAAAACGGTGAATGGATTTGAATTGCCAAATATGAGCATTGCAAAGGGTACGGCCAATGGTACCAAATCGCTTGATTGGAATAAGTTTGTTTTGGATGTGAATGAAAATAGAATTCGTTTCACCAGTTGATCGAGGCATACAAAGGTGTAAATAATAGGACTGTAAATCCAGGAAATGAATCTCTGGCCGAAAGTTTTGGTTTTCATTGGAATCCAACAAAGCAGCGGTTCGAATAGTGTCACTTCCAAATCATGCAATGAATTTGGAAACAAATGATGCGACATGGCGTGACTAATCCGCCATTCTTTGTAGTTGAAAAATGATAAATTGAAGTAAAACATTCTGAAGTTATCCCGCCGATGAAAGAAATTGTGAGCTGAAATCACTGTGTAACACATGCATAAACCGGACAATATCATTAGATATCGATTGTCATATTTGGCGCTGAGTATTGATGTTATGAAGGTTAAAACCAACAACATATCGATAAAAACCTGTTTTCAAATGGAAAAATATATTAAATTTTTTTATTTATCTAAATCTTAAAAATATCTCATACTTTTGTCATCAATTCAGCCCGCTTTGGATTTAATGTTTTCAGTTTTTCACGAATTCGTTGTCTCAATGTACGATAGAAACCAGTTTCTTTGAATGTGAATTTAAAATTTCTCGGTAACTTGGCATCTCGAACACAATAGTCTTTCAACAAATGCTCGGCTTTGGCAAAGTTTATGTGATGCACCTCAAATGCTTCTGTTATGTCTGTTCCCTAAGAAATTGAACGAATTTTTTTAATTAGTCGTCAATAGCAAAGTGGCGATAAATATTAAGTAGAATAATTGTTATCACTTTTGTCAGCTTGATCCAGTCAGTGCCACCCGGATGCAAATCAATAAATTCAGTAAGATCATACAAAGTGTCATGTACTCGCCAGAAACCTTCGGCATTATCATCTTGCTTTCTGCTTTGCATCCATCTGTAATACACATAACAAATCAATTAATCCCTTAGAAGAATTGTATTTAAAATAGCATTCAACTCATTGCAATAAATATATGACGTCTATAAAATTGCATACAAAAAAAATGTAAATAGAATGAAATTTATCACAAATATAAGAAAAAAGATAGAAAAAAAATTATTATTTTTTTTTCAAAAAATTTCATCATAAAACCAATGTTTTTAATGAGCATCATGAATTTTATAATGCGAGTAAATATTCAAATCTCAGTTAAAAATCGACATCATTAATTATTGAAGAGATAAAAACAAGAAACACCATTTTGTAACATATACATTTGATTGTCACATAACCTAGTACATATATACGGCTTTTCAACACTCAAACTCTTTTGTTTGGACTTTATACGGGGCCATAAATGGCTTATAAACAATTTTTTTTTTTTTTTTAACAAATGTAAGATTTTACGGTTTTAAATCGTATTAAATGAACAAAATTGTTGAAACGGTCTTTGCCGTATCTTTATTCGAATCATGTTTGCTATTTTAAAATCAATATTTGCATTATTAAAAATTGCTATTAAACTGATTTTGAAATAACACTTTCTAATACTATTTTTTTGAGTAAGATAATTCTATAAGTCGTGACATGTTCTTGAAACACTTTTTCTAGCTATCAAATGCTGTAATCTAGTTCATGTTGATTTTTTCTTGCTTGAAAATTTGCATGTTTGAAAATGGATGAACAAATGAATTGAATTATTACAATAATTATTCTTACTTGTATGCATTTAATTTCACTGGGTTGATCTCTTGAAACGATGGATAATTACGGGCAATTAATGAGAATCGCTGTTTTGACGTCATAATGCCCAACTAAATCTGTAAACATAAGATTAAAATAAGTCACGTAAGAATTTCTAAAAATATCTCCAATTCTTTTCGTGGCTTTGGTTTGTTACTTTTGTTTTTTTTTGTATATTTAATTTTTTGGATTTTTTTTTAAATTTTATTTCAGCCGAAAACCACAAAACTTAATATAATTTGGGACAATCTTTTTTTTGTGTTTTGTATCTGTTTCGGATGTTGTATCACAGATCGATGTTACACCTCCAATCTTAGAAGGTTCGTTTATCAAAATTATCACCAGTGTGTGTGTGCCTATCAAGTACTTTGAACTGTATGACCATATAGACTCACAAAGTGTTCGTTTCAATAAGCTTGAACTAGACCTTAAAAAAGACACCAGATGCTTTGAATGAATAAAATCGCGATTGTAACCTTCGACGAAATGCCATCGAACGTTTGTACATATTGTCTTTGTCATGTTTAACATATACATCGACCGAACACTGAATAAATGTGCATGTTTTTCTGTAGAAAAATACAAAAATCGTTGACACGCGGTTGTATTCGTATTCGAAAAAAGAATGGGGAAGTCATTTCCTTAAACAAACAAATCGTCAATAAAACCTTAAAAACATTACCGATGATTTTTCCGTGTTGTTAACCCGTGAATTTTTCCAATGTGATTATTTGAAACTTGCTTGTCATTTTTTAAAGAAGTGTACACTTATACTTTGTTTGAGTAAAAAAAAAATAGTCCGGCACTTTTGAACTTTGACATTCCGAAAAGAAAATAATCGATTATAAATGCAATTAATTCAATTTGAAAATTAAAATAATATTTGAAGTGCAATTGTAGCCAGATCGACAATTTTAGTAGACACAAGTTATAAACCAACTATTGTCAATGATAGCAGTGTTCTTATCACTTGAACTTTTGATAAAATACTTAGAACTTACATTCATGCGTCCGATGTTATAATTGCGAGCTACCAAGTCCAATGCTGAACAAAACTGCAACACAACTGATCATACGGTCAATTTTAGCGCCCACTTTTGATAGCACTTCAATCGAAATCATTCACATTGATGCGAACGCACATCAACACACAAACGAACGGCGGAACGTGAACGAAATGAAATGCGTGAATAACAATGTATAGCATTTCGCATTGTTCATGTAGTTGTAGCCGCTATCAGTTGAGACGCGATGTAAACACAATATTCGTTGTTTATGTTTACTGCTGACTCTTTCAATTTTGCATGTATAAGTTAGCACACTCTTTTGTTCACACACATTCGTCGGTGTTTTCTCACATTGTTCTATGACAGCAATTATCATTCTGGTTTTTTAACTGTTAATCCTTGTATGCGTTGGAATGCAATACGAAAATAGTTAACATTTTAAATTGTAACATGTAGAATAAAGTAGGATAATTAATAAAAAAATATTCATAACTATCTATTAATTACATATTGATACATAGCTACGTGCTACGGCAGCAATTTTTCTTGAAATTTTGATCTTAATTGCGATGTAAAAAGTTGATTGATTTTATATCATTCTTTCACATTTTAAATAGCTTGAAATTAATTTGTAATTACACATTTAAAAGAGATAAAATTCCCTTCGACTAGCCGACCATCTCGGCTGTCATCTATATGTTCCACACAAAAACAACGTGTAAAAGTCTCGATGCTTTATTCCGAACTTTTTGGTTGAAATGGAGACGGTCGACTCACTCAGTATCATTTCCAACGTAGTTTGTGATTGTTGTGTTAACATTTGTATGTTACACAGAAAAAAGACTTACGCATTGTTTGGTTTTGATTACAAATGAAAATGTTATCCATTTCAAAGTGATTTGCTCGATTCTTTCTTACCTTTTTCTGTTGTTTCTTCCTTGCATGGAATTGCGTGTTTTATTAGAAAAAAGTGCACTCACCTCATTAAAATAAATACATTAAAACTGGGAGCAATTAATGAAACTACCATTCAGAATTAATTGTTTGGTGAAGATTCCAAGATTATGTAAAATATGAAAAATGGTTGAGAATTTTGTAATTTATTGTTATTTGATTTATTTTCGATATCCCTGAGAAGAAAAAAAATTCAATATGAGTGCTTATAAGTCTAACTTATGGAGAATTAAAGTTCTAGTAAATTCATTAACTGATTTTTGAAATATTTACACACTTATATACTTAAAATGCTATCATTTCAGTTTATTTATTCTTTTAAATGTCGTTACATAATAACCTGATAGATTAATGATTTGATATCTATTGTTTGAAGTTCACCGACTTTATCGATTCAATTACAGCATATATCTTTGAGAACAAAATGGTATTTGTGAGTGTGTGTGTGTGAGTGTGATAAGTTGAACGGTTAAATTACCTCACTCGTGTTCGAAATACAATAAAAGTTAAATATGACATTATTTGGAAGGAATTGCATGTTATCAAATTTGTATAAGTACATTTATTTTTGCCAGACAAAGTTATGAATAAAAAAAAATAGACGGAATTAAGAAATGGCTTTGCATGAGAACGACAAAGCCCAACAAATGCTATTTTGAAACACGTTATTTAGATGTGTGAAGTGTATAAATTAATATTCTACTGCTACTACTGGGATCGAACGTATCCAAGCGTAAAAGCTGGCTGGCTCACGCTCACGCGCTCGGTTTTCTTATCAACATTTATTATCTAACTTTGGCTTTGCATCAACTATAAATACAATATTATTCTATATAAAAAGTCCACCAGTTAACATGTTTAATGCAATTTTTTTCACTCTCTCTCTCTTGATCCATTCATAGCTCCATGGTGAACGCTTCGATTTTTCATTTATGCATTTGGTTAAACATAAAATGTGGTTTAATTTGAATCTCGACTGTTTTCACTGCTGCCGGGTAGATGCGATTCGTTAGTCATGGTTTGTGATGAATTTGTCGGTGATTGGTTTAATGGTTCAGCTGGAATTAAACCCTCTTTGATGCGTTTCTTCTGTTTCATTCGACGATTTTGGAACCATATTTTAACCTAAAACAACAAATTCAATTTATATTGATTAACAACTTCTATTTCTCCATTTCTTTCTCTTTCTGAACATAACAGAGAGACAAATACAATTGAAGGCAATTTAAAGTTCAATTAGCATAAAACGGAAAAAAACAATACATGTGCTTACTTGTGTTTCATTTAAGTTCAGTGCATTGGCAATTTCGATGCGTCGAGCTCTTGTCAGATATTTGTTGTAATGAAATTCCTTTTCTAATTCTGTTAATTGCTTATTCGTGAAATTCGTTCGAGCCGAATTGTTATTATTGTTTAACAACAATGAATTGTTGACGGCCGTCGTTGGGAGACCTAAAGCAATGACATCCATTGGTTATTTTTTATATTTTCCTCCAGAAATGTTTCAACATACCTAATAGTGAATTGGGCAAAACACGACATGCACCGCCATCCATTTGATGGTTATTCAATGAAAACTCCTGTAGTGTTGTTGTTAGTTTGGAAACTGCAAAAGAAAGAAAATATTCAATTTCAATTAATATAAATGCCCAAAAATGCAAAAAAAGATACAAATTACAAAAGAATGCTAAATTAAAATCCACCGAATTTTGTCTCCAAAGACACGAAATTGCGTAAACAAGACACAATTGATTTACCGACGGTAATTTTCTATTTTTATTCACATCTATTGAGTAAGTCCAATTCATTGAAAAAAAAAGTCTTTTATACGTAACCATATGTCTATATGACCTGTAAACGTTATCACCACAAACGAAAAATGAAAAATTCTTTCTAACAAAAATGGCGTGTAATGATTTTTATCAGGAATTTTGAGTGACGTGAACACGAATTGAAGAAAAATAACAAACAAGGAGACCGAACGAAATATATCATGAAATAATATCGATTTCTTTCACCCAGACATGGTTATGCAAACAACCAGCACGCATAAGTGTGTTCCACAATCAGCACTCATCGTGATGATGTTTTTTTTTTCTACAAAAGATTGCATATATTTATTTAATGTCATCGAATATGATCGTCATGGATTAAAATTTTCTGTTTGATGAAATATATTTCGTGCTAATTATGACGTGTCAACATGAAATAAAACACACAACTTTGATATTTTCGTTGATGGAATCCAGTTTTAATCGGTTTTTAAATAATTGTGTGTAAATTTAAAAGAGAAAAACAAGGGACAATCACTCATCTATTGTTTAACTTGTGTGAAATTGAAACATGTAATTCATGTCGATTTATTTACTTGCCAATTTATTTTTATAGCTTTGACGTCGATTTTTCGATACAATACCAGTATAGTCTTTTTACAACTTAAAGACCTAATAAAGAACAACAACTTTGTTTGCCATCGCATATAATCGTAATCAATTTGGCTTGTCGGTAATTAAATTCAAATTTTAATATCAAAAGGCATGTTCCGCTATATTAACTAAGCACTTCCGACGACGCATTTTGATTAATTTGCAATCAACAGTTGGTTTGATGATGTCTTCATATTACAACATAATTTGCATGGTGGAGAATGTAAACCATTTCCCCTTTTATGGATTATACATCATTATGCCTTGAATGATGAACATTTCTTCTAAATCTCTCAATTATAACATGAAATCAGAAGCTTGATGGTTTCCGAGGTTTAAACATTGAGCTATTTTCTTTTGGATGAAAAAGTAAACACTCAATTTTAAGGACTTTTTTTATTGACACCACTTTTGTACTAAATAAATATGTCTCTTTTGAATTTGGTTTTTGAAATCAGTCGTGATATTCGTAATTTATTGCTATTTGACTTGAAAGCAAATATATTTTGTTGGTTTTCGGTAGTCAATGATTAGACCAATAAAAGGATTACTCTTGACATCATATTTAATTAAGATATGACCTCGAGACTAACTTATCCACTGATATATTGTCTGTTCCATTATAAATATAATAAACTTGGATGTCTTGTTCCAAAAGATACGAAAAACAAATGAAAATGTCAACAACACCTGACAATGCCATGAATGATTATGCTCCACGGTCCACTGTATGTCCAGTCATGACTTTCGTACACAAAATAATAAAGGGTTGATTTTATTTCGGAACATTTATTTACACCTAAACTACATGTGATGTATTAATCGGATTAAGATCATTGTTTGTGCCAATCACACTAGGCACGAAATGGCCACTGGTTTTCATGGGAATGATACTGCAATATATACATAACTCGCTTGCAATTGTTTGTACTGTCATATTTTTGAGCTGTTTAGATTACTGAATATTGCTTCTGAAACGGTTTTTCAATTGAAAATCGTGAATCACGTTTTTGCTGCTGAATTTCGAATGCTTGAAGAAATTGGGCAAATTTTTATAAACAAATAAACTACCGAAAGGGCAATGTCTTTTCGGTATTTTTCTTTTCTCTTCGTAATTCAAACACTCTATCTAATTGAAGTAATCGAAAAAAAAAGTCAGCTGAGAACGGCGCATCTTTCAGAAGTCATGCTGATAAATAAAAAAAGAGAAATTAAAAATAGACATAGACATAGGCTATTCAAATCGAAATTACATAAAATGGTCATAAATTCCTTTGGAAGTCCAGAACAGTAGTGCTCATTCATCAAAAAGTTTCAAATTTTGATTGATCGTATCGTGGCAAAGAACATGTGTAAAATCTGTCATTTAAAGGTTTATTCGAATCTTGATCGGTGTCGGCAAAATGAAAAATGGAGAAAAATTCAAATCGTTCGCTTTCATCGATTATGATGACGACGGAAAAAAACGAACACGAAACAAATTGGTCGGCTGAAAAATTGTGCAAGATAAATATGAAAACGAAAAGGAAAAGAAAATTTGATCGAATTTGATACTCTTTTGGTATTCGATATTTAAGGTGATTTTTGCACAAATTTATTTTTGATATTCTCACCCAATTGTTGAACCATGAAATTCAAAAATGAATTTCATAAAAATAATCATTCGTTTGTTGTATTCAAGCAAATTCAAATCAATGTCAGCCTCAATAAGTTATCTTATCGCTATCGAAAAGAAGTCAAATTATGTAGTTAAAAAAAAAAACAATTTTTCGAGTCAGACATGTTACCGAAAATTGACGCGTATCACATTCTAGATAGGTTTAAGTAGACACGTCAAAGTTATTTCGGTCTCATTGTCAAAATTCACTTTTACGGAAGCAAAATTAAACAAATGAAACGACAATTACCCAAATTTTTGATTTGATTCGATTTTCATGTTTCGACTGTCTTGAAATCAATTCGAATATCCAGAGCTCGTGAAGAAGCTCATCGTGAATGGTTCGAAAAAAGTCAATGAGCTGTCACTAATTCGTAGATTGAAAGGTGGCGATAACGCAGTAGTCCTTCAATTAAATTCAAATCGAAGTACCTGTACTGTCAAGCACAATCTTGTTCGATTTGATATCGGCGCAAGTGTTAATAATTTCGAAAAAAATTAGTGTTTCAAGTAATTGCGAAATGAAATCATACATCACGTCGAAATAAATATTATTTTGGAGTAAATACCATCGCAATTTCCAACCAATTTAAAATATTCGTCGATTTTCATTTTAAAATATAAATTCAGGATACATTCGAAAAGGGAATTTTCATGTTCTGATTTGATTTCCATTTCAATTCTCCAGATACAGCGTTTGATTTAATTATTTTGAGTCCATTTTCTTTCAGCCGACCACATTCATTGCACAGCTATGCAAAAGGTGCACATTTTCAATTTCAATATGGCATTACATTCGAAATGACTTTAGCTACATGAACATAAAGTTCGGCCAAGCCAAAAATAATAACAAACACAAGAGAATACAATCTCATCCATTCATTAATGATGTCACATTGTATTTATTCAATTAAATGTTTTTGACTCGCTATTGGGGAGCCATTGTTTTTGATAAAATTGAAATCAGAAAATGTGTTCAAAAAGTTTTAGATATAGGTTTTCTTCTCTCGCTTGTTCCCACATGGAAAAAGTTAAACGACGCAAAGTAAATGCCATTCACGATTTCGATTGAATGTAATC